GCAGTAATTCTGGAAGTTCTGCTCTAAAAGAGCTGAAATCTCTTGCAGGCCATGAGACTAGAACAACTGAAGTACCTGTTGTTCTGCAGACCCCATCCCTTCCCTTTCCTTGCTTCCTGCTTGTGAATCTGTAAGCCAATTTCCCTGTATTTGGCTAAAAGCAAGAGGCCTTACAGATAGTAATGTCTGAGATATCTCCTGAAAATACTGAGCTAAGTAGGGGAGCTCTTACTAGGGCCTTGGGAATGCTTTCCTGCTTTATTAGATATTAGATATTAGATATTAGACTAAAGCTAGATAACAGAGAATCCATGCTTTATTGCTGCTGCTTTTGTTGTTTTTCTTTTTGTTCTGTTGTTTTCTGGAAGGATGGATGGGAATTTCTGATTTATTCCTATGCATTCCTCCAGAAAAGACACTTTCCCTCAATTTCTATGCAAAGTAAGAAGTTTTTGGTTGTCTCATTGTCTGTATTAGGGTCATCTGAATGCTGCACTTAAGTCAGTCTGGGGTATTTGAAGAAAGAAGTTTTGAGTTAAAACCTTCACTGGGTTGGCTTAATCCTCTTCTAAAATATCAATACACGCTTTGTACAAACTGCTTCATAAATCACAGGAATTGCCTATTAGTAAATCTCCCATAGAAATAAGCCACAGGTTTATTTTGTGGTGTTTTGTTTTCCCTTTTTTTTTTTTTAAAGTGACAGATCCAGAAAAGCAGCAAAGAACAGACAGGCTAGTCTGTAACACTGCTTTGGAGAATAATGGTTTCTGTTTCAGACCTAACGAAGAGTTTGTAAGCCCGAAAGCGTCTCTGCTTTTTCCAGTTAGTTAAATAAAACGTATAGCTTCTTCCCACAAACCGAGCAGTTGTTGCACCTTCAGACCATCACAGCTACAAAATCATCGCTTCTTAGAAAATAAATATAGCTGGGGCTTCGGTCTCTTCTGATTAAAGTGCAACTGCAGTGGCTCTCGGCAGACAACAAGGCAGCTCGTGAGTTATGGAAAGCTAAATATATCATAACGTGCTGCAGCAGCTACACATCTGCGGGAGCTCGGCGATTTCTCCGAGCCGCTGGGGTGTTTTTCCCAGCGGAGGCTGTTTCCCAGGCGAGCTGGGAAACGCACCTGGGTTTTTCCTTGGGGATTTGGATGTACCTGGAAGGAAGGGCCTGCTCAGGCTCTTGCTGGTCCCGGGAGGATGTTGCTCACCCCATGTCTGCCTTCGGGTGCTGCAGAACCCCTGCCTGGTGCCGCTTACCTCCTTCAGGTGGCTTCTCGTGGGGGGCCTCCGTCCTTGGGTCATTTTCACTCTGTCCCGCGTGACGTGGTCCAAGGAAAGGCTCTCGTCTACCTTCACCTTTAGAAGGGGGGATGAGGAGGGAGGGAAAAAGAGGAGAAGCTTAATTTCTCCAAGACGCGCCACTAAAGTTCTCCCTGTCATGCAGAACAGGGAGCAGCGACTGCATCCAGTGACTTTTTGGAAAATTTCCCCACTACGCTCCCCACCTTGGACCTCAGTCATGGTCTTGTCTGCAAATCCCTGTGTGTGTGAGACGGATGTTGCAGGTATCCATCCCGCGGGGAGCTTTTCCCCCCTAAAACACCCTCCAGGTCCAACCTTGAGCGCTCTGCGCCCGCTAACCTCGCCTCTCCCGAGAGCGCAGCCCAGGGAGGACACGAGAGCTTTGCTGTCCTCGGCGCAGCATCCGGGAGGCTGGGAGCATCCCTCCGGAGCACTGCGCGGAGACCGAGTTTATCATCTCGGAGGTGAAAGCCCATCAATAACCGTGACCTCACTGTGAACCGTATCAGCAGTTCGTCGGCACGGACCTTCCCTTGAACGGCTCTAACAACTGCAGAGGCTGAATAGAAGGTGCGAGCAGTGACCTGGATTAGTTGCAACTGTGGCTGAATTAACAAATTTATTAACAGGCAGGAAAGCTGGCAAGGGTCAAATAAGGATTCAAGAGGAAAAACAGCTCCCAACCCCTAGCTCTGATATGGCAGGGCAGTTTTACAGCGAATCTTTCGGCAGAGAACAGCTAATCCAAGCCAGCTGAGCGCTTGAGCCGTTCGCTTGTGCCCAGTCTGTGCAGAAAACCTAAATCTAAGGTCTGATTCTTCCGGGAATTAGCTGGAATTAGAGGCTGCTCTCTCCAGGTCCGTGTAAGAAGCCCAGCCTCGGGGGCTGCAGGGAAGGGAGGTGACCCCGGATCCCACCCAGCTCCACATTGCGGGACCGGGCGTCTCCCGCCCGCAGTAACGTGAGAAGGACCCGGCTGCTGAGCGCTTGGTAACATCATCCATTTAATTCCACGTGCTGCTTCCCACCGGGTCCAAGGGCCACACCATGTCACCGGCAAAAACCCGACCCGCAGTGCCATTTGCCTGGGCACAGGCGGAGCACGTTCCAGCCTCTCCAGCGTTTGTCCCGTGCGGAATAAAAGCAAAGCCTGGATTTCCTAAACAGGAGCTCGAGTTGCCATGATATAGCTGGAGCCATCGCTTCCTCCTTGCTGATCCCAGCAAGGGATCCCTCCTCCTCGGGAGCCTTTCCGAGCTCCGGCCGCCAGCCCAGGCTTGGGCAGTTTGTGATCTCTAGCAGCGCATCTGCAGCACTGAGCCCTTTTCTCAAAACTTTTACTCATTGCTCTGGTTTCCCTTGCTGAACAGATCTTGCCGATTAGCTCTGGTTTCCTTTGCTAAACAGCCCTTGCTGATCTCTTTGTCCCCTGGTCACCCTGCCCATGTCTTCTGGTGTCATTCCCATGCTGGTGGTTTTGTGCACTTCCCTTCTGCTGCTGAGATGACTCAAGAACAGAGGCTGCTCCTTTGGTTCAGCCCGGCGCTGGCGACAGGCTAATGGGGAGCAAAGCAGGATTATGGCAAGATCCAAGAGGTGCAACTTCCTCCTGTCGGGATGAGAGCGGAATCTGGGAGTGCTGGGAGCTGGGCAGGTTTGGCCAAAGCCTTAGAGAGAAGATGCTTGGAGAAGCCAAGGAGTAACTTCCACTGGATTCCTCTCCAAACTGGAGGCAGAAAAGCCGGCAGAGGGGTCACTGGCACTCAGGAAGGACGGGCAGCTTGGGGTGGGGGGCAAGATCTGCCCATAGCTAAAAAAGCAGTGAATGAGAACCGACACAGAAAAACGTAGGGTTCAAAACAGTTTGTCTTACCTCATCAAATATTTTGTTTTTGCCCCTATTGATCCCCTCATTAAGAGCTTTTATCCAGGATTCCTTTTCTTCCAAAGTTGGTGCTTGAAATTTGATATCATGAACCTGCAAGAGTGGAGAAGAAGTGGAGAATTTTGCCTCAGCGTTATTTGTCAAGAACAGAGGTAGCTCTCTGCTCTACATACACCACCTCAGTTTCTTATATAACATCCAGTTCCATCCTGTGTTTAAACTAGAGATTCCTTTGCGCTTTGGCAAGTACTTCACTTCAGCGAACCGAATTTTGTTATGCTGAACAGCTTGTTGCTGTAGCTTTTTTTTTTTTTTTTTTTTTTTGCAACTGGTTATTAAAGTAATAAGAAAGTAAGAGTTCCCTCCCTCTGCAAAATGCATGGAAAAGCTCTTAGAGCAGCAGTGCGTTGTTTATGCAGGGAAGAGCCAGACTGTATAGGGAATTAGACCGAAAGTCTAAGTCGTTTTTTTTTGTTGTTTTCAGGTGCAATAAGATACTTCCATCTCCAACTTCCCCAAGCAGAGAGCCCTAGGAAAGCAGTGTGCAGTGGGTGCTGCTTGCTTCCCTATTGCTGCAGAAGGAACCGAGACCGGGATCTGGGGCTCTGCCCTGGGCTGCGCTAACCCGACCCTGCCGAGCACAGACACTGCGTTTTCTTCTGCTTGTGAATGAAGAATTAAAGCAGCAAACACTATAGACATACGTTTTCTGGATTCAGAACAGCTGAGAGTAAGGAAAAAAGAGGCCAGAAGAGGCAAGAGGCCTGGAACACAAATAAGGACCAGAACAACGGGAGGTTGTGTGCCCTGTCCTGAGCTGAGCTCAGTGTTTTGAATCTCTTATTGACCACATCACGAGAGCATTTAGGGTGTTACGTACTTCATTGCTGTGTTTTCTGAGTGCTTCAGCAGTATTAGGCAGCTTCCACCCCAAGGGCACTTCAGAAGTTTCACCTCCACCTCACAGGGGGCTTTGGGATAGCCTGGCTTGGACCCAAGCCGCTCTCTGTAGTGCCTTAATCCACACTGCACACGCACACAAAAATATTCTTACGCGAAAGAACCCGATTAAAGTTGCAAAACCGAGTACTGAAAAATAAGACAATCCCAAACCTGCCTGGGTGGCCGTAGCTCGGCCTGCTGTGCATGTTCCTCGTGTCACTGTCCCCAGCGACATGACTTATTCCTGAGTTATCCCACAGTGGGTGTTATCCTCACCGGTCAATGGGTCAGTATGTCTTATTGATTGTGCTTCTGCTCAGCCCTGCCCTGAAGACAGAATTACTGATTCCCCGATGACCTTTTCCTTGCTGCTCATCACTGCGATATCTGGGGGCTTCACAAATTACTTTTCAGAGCATCTGAAATTCTCCCTCTCTCACAGATGGGGAGATGAGCTATGGAGAGGCTCATCCAAAAAAGGTCTTTGGGCCTTTTTTTTTTTTTTTCAGGGCATTTAACAGCCTATATTCTGCACTTTCCTCTTGCCTTTGTGAGCAGTTGTAGCACTCAGAACATTCTGAAATCAGAAATGCAGAAAATGAGAACACAAGCAATAAAAAGCGTGGTGAAAGTAGCTTGCCCAGGAGAGCACAGAACCTTTTTTGTGCATAATGTCCTACGGCTGCTTAAAAAAAAAAAAAAAAATCAGGAAATACTGAGCCATGAGGTAGCATCCGGGAGGAGCACAGCAGGGTTGGACCTTCAGACTATATGAAATGAGGGCGAATGTAGGAAATGAGGTACGAAATGAAGTGACTGATGGTCCTGTTCTCTTGGCTGACGGCACCCGGACCCGCAGGTCTCAGCAACTTCTTATACCGGTACCTGTGCTGTGAGAGCCCCAGTGCATCCTGCTACTGGGATGCTCCATGCCCAACGTGGAACCGTCAGAAACTCTGCAGACCTAAACCCTCATCTCCTTACACCCCTCCTACTGTTTAGCCAGAAACCCCTGCCCTTCCTTTTTACATTTATTCCTCCCTTCATAGCAGCGAGGAGAGAGTGGTTTGACGCGTGCACGACCCTCCCAACCGGCATGGCAAGCAGGGGGTTAAGCAGCAAGTTGCGGAAAGCTTATTTATTCGATTAGCCCGCATGCGAGGTGACGAGGCCGCACGTCTCCCTAATAGCCCAGAGGAGAGGTTAGGGCACAGCGCTCCGCTCCGGAGAAAGAGCCCTTTGTGCGGACGCAGAGGGACGGCCGGGCCGCGGCGCGGAGCCGCGGCCAGGGCTGGGCTTAGCCCCAGCAGCCCCGTCTTTGTGCGCGCTCAAAAACTTCTTTTTGTTTGGAAACCGTTTTGCCCCTGAGCCCGGCGATTACAAAAGCTTAGGAGAAAGCCCTCCTTGTGAGCGGCTGAGCTGCCGCGCTGCCTGGCAGAGCCCTGGCAGCCCGCGCTGCCCTTCGGAAACCTCCGCGAGCGCTGTCGGAGCGAGGGATTCCTGCCCGGGATGCAGAAGGGGCAGCCTGTCTGCGTCTTTAGACTCATCTGAACATTCACCACTACCAGAGGATGCACCTGAAGGCGGATGGATCCCGTGCAACTTTAGGCGGGGTCTTTTCTCCAGCAGCAATTTTAGGCAGAAAGGCTGTGACACCTAATGCAAAACCGGAGAGCAAGACGTTTGCTCTCTCTGGGGCTGAGTCATGACCCAAGCAGCAGCCTGGTGTGCCAGGAAAAGCTGTCCTGGCAAGCGGTAACGCAATAGTGACCGCTGCGAGCCCTGAGTCCATGTGTGCAATTTACTGTAAGCCGCTGCAGAGCTCGGCGCGGGCGGGCGGCCCTGCTGAGTCACCCGGCGGCTGCGTCGGGACGAAGGAGGCCCCGAACGCGTCACCCAGCACCCCGGAGCGCACGGAGCTCCCTGCTCGCCCCACGTCCGCTCGGCGTCACCGTCACTCTTCAAGCAGCGACGGACTCGGGGCTCTGCTGCCTCTGCTTTCCAGATGTGTTCCCAGGGCCAGCAGGTCCTCCCTGCACTGGGTGGTTTCATGGACAAGCTCTGGAGAACGGTACTGGTGCAGCAGAGGACGTTTCCCAATGCTAGCTCATCTTTCCTACTAGATGCTACTGATCTGTTGCAGAGTGAAATGACCCAAACCTGTGCCTGGACTTCAGCTGTTTCAGTGCAAAGCCGGGTATTGGCTTCAGGTGCCACTGGAATTGGGCTAAATTGGAGTGTGAACTACTCAGGGCTGGCTTAGGAGAGGGTTCCTCTCTGCTGACTTTTGGTTGCTTCCAGCAACAAGCTGTATGGAAGGGTGTTCCCAGGCATGAAGTCATCTCCTGCCTTCTTCTGTGTGGCTGTTCTAGTCAGGTCAGATCATGGATGGAGAGGCAGAAGCCAAGGGATTGCCCATTAGGGCATTTTTGCCCCGCTTTTTTTTCTGCAGCTGAACTGGGAGCCACCTCATCACTGGGAATAATGAAATATCTCAGCCAAGCTCAGCCTGGGCACTGCTGGGAGCAGACTGGGTGTATGGGATGGACGTGCCTCACTACAACCTGTTGCAGGTTCTGCGTTGGACCCCCAGCAAGGAAGCTGCAGGTACCCCCAACGTCAACTAAAAGCCCCCCCTGGAAAGCACCCCCTAAACACAGTGCTGAGTGTGTGCAGCAACAGAGTTGTGGGAAGCAGAAATCCTTACTCAGAGACTTCTTTTCCCTACTACTACCCTCTTTCTTCCCATTTTCCCTATTCTTCTGGCCTGTGGCTGGTGGTTTTCAGACTTGCTGAATACCAGACTGGTGCCAATCCCTGCAGTCTCCAGGCAATTTCCACCAGGCATCACGCTCGGCAGCGGGAGCACATTTGCAAGTCTCCAAGCCAAGGTTGCTGCCCTCTCTTACAAGTTCTCCCCGCAGCTCTCTGTATCCAGCAGATTTCATTTACTTGCTGTGGGTGGAATGAAGCATTTGAAATCTCTAAAGAGAGCGGGTCTTTTGCAAACATCCAGCTTCCTTGGGACAGTGCTTGGTTTTGGCTGCACAAGAAGACGAAGCAGGAGCGACATGCTCCTACTGTGACGGCTCGATGAAAACCCCGCTGGTGGGACCAGAGCCTGGGGTATTCCCATCAAAGGTCATTTTCAGCAAGGCAATTTATTTATTCAGGTGCAGCTCTAACTGCAGAGGGGTTTTAGCTGTCTGATGCGTTGAAAGCAGAGCTATGTGGAGCTCACAGATCCTTCAGACTGTCCAAAAAAGTTTCTGGTTTCCTACCTGCTCTTTGAAAACGTCCCCCTTGCTTTCAATGGGAAACTCCCATTTGCATGCTGAAATAGAAATAGCCTTTCCCAGCTGCCTTGTAAATCCCAGACTCACTCGTTGCCTTCATTCTCTAGCAAGAGAGGGGACAAAGACCCTCAGCAAGGCCTGGAAGGGCCGGGCAAGGCAGCTCCCTGCGTGACTTGGAGCTGCTGCACGCGCTGCGGATGGCAGCGAGTCTGCCCAAAAGGAAAATGTTTGGCTGGTGTATATGGCCACAGCTGCAGTTCCAAAACAGAAGAAGGACAGTTGTGTACACTGGCCTCCTCATTGCAGCCCGTTTTAACTGCAAAAAGTATCTTGTGTGCAAGATACTGCAAAAGTATGTTGTGTGTCAACACCCCTACCGGCTTCCTAGCCAAAAGCAGGGTAGGAGGGGAGCTGCAAACAGGAGACTTCATTTATAAAAGCCTTTCCTTTCATTTAAAAATGCCTTATAAAAAGTGGCCTCTATCTAGGTTTCCATTTAGCATGACTAGCCTGGGAGCTGTAAACATGCCAGCATGACACAAGCTGGAAATTAACCTTTCGGTGCAGATTTGAGGTGCATCTTTCTCCCAGCAAGACGTGAAAGGTCAAGGACCAGCTCCCCCATTCATTGATTTGTGCATCAGTGCAGAAGCATATGCAGCTCTTACCCTTTGCCCCTCATAGTAACGTGTCTGCAGGTGATAATAACACAGGCCGTGTCCCCCATCCCGGAGCACACGGCTTTTTCTGGCCTCCCTGGGACAAGATGTGGACACAAATGGCACAAAGTAGACACGAAGGAAGCCCACCAAGCCCAGCAGGGTTAGGCGCTTTCAATCTAGGCCTGATATTATTGTGAAATAAATGCTAAACTTCCCCTGACCTGGAGAGACTCACAGCTCTAGCACAGGGCTGGCATCTCCCATCTACCTACGTGTGCTGCCTAATTTCACTTCTTTTCCTGACGCAGGCTGGATCCACTGGCAAAACAAATATCATTTACCCCCGGCCTGGTCCACGTGTGTGTTTTGGGGCAGGACAGTCCCTGTTTTGTTTCGAGGGGAGTTTAGCACGTGATGCTCTGAACTCAGCTGGGCCCTGGATGCACTAATACATGAATAAACACTAAGTGACTGCAAGGAAAGAATAAGCAACAGTGACAATAATGACTAAACAATCTCCATTTATTTGAACAAAATGGAGCTAAGGGGGTGCATGCAAGTTGGCATTTTGGACTGTTCATATTCTCGTTGGAAATTAATATGTTTTGTCCTTCACAACATATTAGTTCTGCATGGGGAGCTGGAATAATATCTCTTAGGCCAATAATATCACATGGAAATTAGAATGTAAATCAAATGTGAGATGCCTCAAACCAACGACAGAAACACCCCAGCCCATAAAGATGCTGAATTGAATAACCTGTAAGTAGGAATCAAGGGGACTTTCCAAACTGAGTGGTAATGAGGAACTTACATGGGAAGCAGGGAGCACTTGCTTACAGAGTCAGCGCTCAGGCGATGTATAACCTTTTTTTTTGCAACATCAGCATGGTAATTGAGTATTGCATATAACCAGGAACCCAAGGTTGTAGAGTTTGCTGAATTCTGCAAAATATACCTTTTCTTTCTACGAAATGTTTGGGTGCAAGCAGTTTAGCACAGGACTTTCTCAGATTGATGTTTCCAACCCAGGAATTGTCTCAGCGCAGACTAGGAGCACTGATTTCACTGGAATTTAGGCAAAGGAATGGGAAGACCTTTCCCTGCCCCAAGGAGGAAGATGGCAGCGTCTTCCTCGCACACGGTGCAGACTCATCGCTGTAGAGCGTTGCTTTCCAGCTGCCATGCCATTAGAGCCCGGAGCCTTTCCTTCCCAAAGCACCTGCTCTGGGGGCACGTTTGGGGATTTAGGGTGAAGAGAAAGGCAATCCTACCTTCTTACCGGGGGAGCGGATTAAAATGAAACGGTTTTTCCTTTTTAGCAGCGCACGCAGCTCCTGGCACTTGTCGTAACTCTCCAGTTCCACCGTTTCTATGCATTTCTGTTCGTCCTGCAGGGAGGGAAGGAAATGTTGTTACAAACAGAAGGCACTGGAATCAATCATCTACCATCAAACACAGCGTGTCTTCCTATGGCATCTGTCCGGAAGCTCCTTTGCCTTAAAAATAATCTGCGTGCAGACTGCGACCTCCTGGTAACTCAGGCCGGTGTCTCGCTAAGAAAACCCGCTGTTTTGTGGCTCCTGCTCTGCAGTGGCCGGGCAAGGGACACGCTTGGGCAGTTGCCCCAGGCTCTGTGTGACCTCCTCATCCAGGGGCCAGGGCGAGGAGGCTCCTTGGCCCTCGTCCTGCCCTGGCGCCCGGCACGGGGCTCCCGGCAGCCTCTCTTCTCCCTGGGGTATCTCCCCCTCGCCACGAGCTTGGCTGCTTCCCGCAGCAGCATAGCTGGGATTCCACCCGCCGCGCGCGGCTCGGCTCGGCACCGTCCCTCTCCTTCCTTTAATAGCAATTGCAGTGCAGCCCTGCGCAGATAACGAGCGGCACAGCAGCGCAGAGGAAACCCGAGCTCCTTTTTTGCTAAGTTTTGCACCAAGCCGCAGCGTGGGGATTGCAGAGCGGCTCCTGCCACTAAAGCATCACAGCCGGCGCGTCTCATGAACCTAAATCAAAACCTCGGGCCGCTCCTGAGCCGTTGCCCGCGGGTATTAGTATTTTTACTGCAGCGGCGGAGGGGTGTAGGATGAGGAAATGTGTCGGAGCCAGGAAGTCGCTGCGAGGCTGGAGGCAGGGAATGGGGAGCCGAGAGGGAAGTGGGCTGCGGGGAATTTCCTCCGCTCGCCACTGGTCACTGCACGGAGCTCGGGGCTTCTGACCCTCCTGCCCAGGATGCAGAGCAAGCTCTGAGCCGCTCAGGGATGTCTGGATCTAATTTAGGTTTATTGCTTTAATGATATTACCGCTTGTTTCACTGAACGCTGAGTAGGTGAAGGTGAGTGGAAAACTGCGGGGAAATGCATACGAGCAAGAGGGTAAAACTGGCAGGGAAAAAATGTCTTTGTGGCCACCAGCATCCAGGTGACTTCCAGGGAAGCTGGGGATATCACAGGGAATGTGGAGCTCCCTTCAGGCCTCTCTTCTCTTTCCTTTTACAGATTTGAGGATTTTTCTCCTAAATTGCTTTCCTACTTCCTGTAATGGACAATCAGTAAGACACTTAAAATCCCAGTATGGAAAAAACACACTCACTGTTTAATTCAGGAAAACAACTTCATTCACTATTCATGGGGCAGGCCCTTAAGCAAGTGTGTGTCTCACTTGTTTGGCCGTTCTGAAGAAAATTACTGAATACCTTTGTATATTAGTGCATGTGCTTCACCAAAGAATCATAAATACAATTAGGTTGGGAAAGAGAAAAATAGGGAGTTTGTGCACAAATTATCTGTGTTGAAAATGACAGCAGCAAGACTTAGGGCTTTTTGGAAGCCCTACACTTTTCTGGATGCAGAGTTGATAAAAAGAGGAGCACAACCCCCCGAAGTTTTTGTTTAGCTGAAAGTTGGATCTCCAATGTGAAAAGGTCTTTTCACAGATACACGTTAATAGCTCTGACCCTCCCTGCACTGCCAAATGTCTAGACTGCCTGAAATAATACTTTCCTCCTCCATCTGGGGAGCTCAAAGCATTTCAGTAATTTCAACTCGGGTATAACTCGCTATCACTTTACCAGTGCAGAAACGCAGGTATTAACTACCCGACCGAGGAAGCCAAACACCGAGTGGATCCTCCTGCTCGCTATAGACTCTTTGCCTACCAGGCTTTTTTCTTCATCGAAGGATACACATTTAAAAAAATCCCTAAGCACCAGCACACAGTGCAGGTACATCCTGTGCTGACACTTGGGTCTGCAGCAGCACAGAGGCTTCTTCCTTAGCTGAGTCTAAGCTCATTTGCAGGAGGGCCCAGGCGGAGGGAGCCACAGGCATAACAAGGAAAATTTCCGAGCACGGCAGCGCACGGAGACCCCAAGCACATGGACTTCCCCCCACCGTCTGCTCCAGGTAGCCCAACAGCCACTTGCAGCTTGCGTTTGGGGGAAGCTTTGCTTTAAAGCAACCCAAAAGCCTGACCAAGCTGTGCAAGATGGGGAACCTGTGCCCGAGCAGGGCAGAGGCACGTCCCAGGAGATGGTGATGCTGAAACAGAGCATCTGTGCTGTGCCCGAGCACGGCTTGGCACCCGTGCAGACCCGTTACTGCCTCCTCGCCCCTTATTTCACACTGCAGAGCCCAGGGAACAGGCCGGAGTGTGCGAGCCCACGAAGGAGCAGGACAAGCGCGTCGGCACGTGCGGCGTCTCCAAAGGCGACGCTCGCACCTCGTGTGAAGGCGCCGGCTGCACGAGGCGCTGAGGATGGGCCAGTGTGCCCAAGGGCGAGCTCAGCTCCGGAAACGCCGCGGGATCGATCCCAGGCAGCGCTCCGCACGGAGCGGGATCCCATCTAACCCGCCGGTCCAATCCGGGCAGGACGATGCTCCCATTGCAGCTGCCCGGCGCTTCCCTCCTTTTTCCAAGGCTGTTTCAATAGAGCTGGGTGAAGAGGAAGGTCCATCCCCAATAAAGCCACTGCGGCATCCAGCACCGCGGACTCCGGCGTGGGGCAAGTCGCTTTTCCTAAACACTTTGTTTCCTACTTGTAACACAGAAGGCAGTGCAGCCCCAACACACGTTACTCAAAGGTAAATACAGTAATAAACATGATCGGCTTCGCTTCTGCAGTAACGGGACCCCTCCTGAGTACAGAAAATTGCCATTTCCTTCAAAAGCCCAGGCTATCCTGTTGTGCTCCCAGATAATTTTGTAGCAATTTCCTTTCCTAAGATATTTGACTTTGCTGTAAGCCAGTTTAATAGCCTATAGATATTAACATGATCCCTTATTTACAATAATGGGACCTTCTAGCTATGCTAGCTCACAGATGCAATTTATTACAGGATGTTACCACAATACGCAGGCCTCAACAAAACACCATGCCTGCTTGTTACAAATGCCACTCTCTTTGCCCAGGTAATGAAATAACCCTTTAAGTGATTGGGATTTTTCCTTCTTTCGAATGTCTGTGAGGATTAATCTTACTTTAAAGCTGTCTTGTGGTAATGAGAACCTCCACATATCCTGTTTTTGAAGGCATGGCCTTACAAAACCCCTGTGTCCTGCTTGTAGATGTGGATCATTGGGCTTGGGGAGCTGCAGGTGGTCAACAGGTGCCCAAGGCAGGTGCCAGGAATGTGCAGGATGCAGAGTTGGCAGGAGCCGGTCCGGGATGCTCCCGGATGCTCCGGGATGCTCCGGGATGCTCCGGCCCCGCGGGGCCTCCGGCGCGCTCGGGGCCGCCGCTCCGTCACCCCTGCTCTCCTGGTGACATTTCCAAAGCAAGAACTAACCCCTCCGGAAAGGTTTCGGATCCGGGGGGAGTGGGAGGGCTCTGTAGCGCATGGGAGGAGGTGATGCCGTTTAACCTACATCGTTTATAACAAATCTTCTATATTAGGCAATGCATTTTTTTTTTTTAAGGAAAAAAAAAAGAGAACCAAACTCATTTGCCAGGGCTGTTGTTCCCGAAACCCTCGCAGCAATGCAACTGCTGAAATATTTCCCCATTCTGCTTCCCTTGACACACAGCACAGCAATTCTGCTTTCGCATCGCCCCGATGCCCACGATGGAGCCCTGTCGAAGCCGGGCCGGAGCGGCGGCCTCCGCGAGCGCTCCCTGCACTTTTCCTTCTTGCCCGGAGACGCGGGACAGGCTGGGCTTGGCTCTCGTTTCCCATTTGATTGAAAACAGCTCCAAATGAGGCCGTGAACTCCGGGCATGCGATTTATCCAGGGAAGTGAAGGACGAGGCTCCCAGGGGTCCTTTGCTCAGCGCTGGCTCGAGCGAGGGGGAAAGAGCAGCCAAGTCCAAACCCCGATCCCGTTTAAGGAGGAGGTCGAGGCTGCCTAATCCCACCCTATGCCCCTCGGCAGGTACCAGAGACCCCAAAATCCCGGCCAGCATCGAGTGAGCTGTCACCAGCGCCCCAGGTGGGCTCCTACAATGTGGTTTTCTCCTTTAAGCCCCCCAAACTACTCGCACAAATCCTGCCTCCTCCCTAAATTTTCCTCTGTGTCCTTCTCACAGGACATCCTGCCCCCTTTTTTTTTTTTTTGGCAATGGCACTGTCAAAATATTTACTGGCTAAAATATTTGTGATAGATAATATACTCTAAAGGGCAGCAGCTGTCTCCTCTTCATAGCATTTAACCTTCCAGGAGATATCTGGAGAAGCCCTTTGGAGAGGAACGGGCCGGAGGGACGAGCAGGAGACCCAGGCTGTGGATTCCCAAGGCCTCATCCTGCTCTTTTCGGGGATGCCGGGACCGTACCTCGTCCTCGCAGACCACCAGCTGCGTTTTGCGCAGCAGGATGTAACGATCCTTCCACAATCCCAGGAGTCCCCCGCTGCTTTTCTTAATCCAGCCAAATTTCTCCGCGGTTGGAGCAGATTTGGGTTTCTCTGCAGCGTCCTCCTTTGTATCCTGCAAGGCAAGGCGGAAGGGAGAAGGAATCCCGTTAAAAGGGTTTTCCAGGCAGTCAGTGCAGGGCTCCAGGAAGCTGCCCCAGGGAAGACACCAGCCCCCAAAACCCAGAGTCCTTCCTCAGGATCACCAGGGGAAAATGTGGCACCAGACTGATGTTTTCCAGGGAAAACTCCTGCAAGGAAGAGCAAAGCTCAGCCGGGTCCCTCTCAAGGACAGGACGGGCTTGGACCCTGGCCGATCCAAGGGGACCTTTTCCCTTGCTCCTCTCCTGGCTCCGGATACAGCAGTGCTGTATGAGACACGTCCTCACAGGGAAATAAACCCACGGACTGGGGCCTGCAGCCAGTTCCTTAGTGCGGGGAAACCCAACATGCAGCACAAGGAGTCGGTGCCGGACGCTGCCGCGGCCAGAGGGGAGCAGGGATGGAGCGAGCGCGTCGGGACGAGCGGCCGGGACGCAGCTTCCAGCGGGAAGCCGGGATAACCCAGTATTCCCAGGATCCTGCCAAGCACCGAGCGCCCTCGGACAGCAGCTGCGGCTTGCCGAGCTGTTGCTCGGAAGGGGCAATTTGCACCGGAGAGGAAAAACAGATTAAATGCGCTGTGTGCACGAAATGCCTTCCCCAGGGCATTGAATTCCTTCCCTTCTCCAGGCAGGGCTTTTGCAGGTAGGATCAGGGTGGACTAAGAAGAAGAAAGAACTGCAAGCGCCTGCACACTGCCTGGCCCCAAATCACGCGCGATCGGCACCGCGCGGTGCAGGGGCCGCCGGTCGCGCTGAGCTGGGTCACAGCCCGCGGGACGACAAATCGTGAAAGGAAAAAAGTTTTCCGGGAAATGAGGGGTGCTGTGGTTTTTTTAAGCACAACTTTTGAGGTTGCCAGGAAGTCGAATTCAGTTGCGATCCGCTACCTCGGTGAACATCAACTGCTGCACAAATATAGCCCTGCTGATTTCCTGATTAAGCACCCTTTTGATGTCATTTTTAGATAACCGGGCACTGACTTTAACCTCACTCTGAGCAGTTTTGCATGGCTGGAGCTGCACAGAGCGTTTAGTGCAGCAACCCTGGACAAGCAGCTGCCGAGCGCTCCGTTATCCCCAAAGGCTTTGGGTTTTTTTGCTTTGCAGCTGAATTTTTACCACTCTTTTTTCCTCGCCTAACAGGTGGCAGAAGGGCCACTGGAAAACGCACAGCAAAATTAAAGCACAAATTCATTATTGCTAATATGGCTCTGTGTGGGAATGTGCCCAGATACCCTGTCGAGGACACTCCTGGGCTCAGTTCATCCTTGACACCGGTGTAAATCCATGGGAATAAACCCAATGCTGGAGTGGAGCGAGGCCACGTGAAGGAGGGAGGAACTGGGTTACTCTGACACTGGCTGTAGCCAGAGGCTCCATCCCCAGAATGATCCATAAGTCACTGCTGCAGCGCAATCGTGGTGACATTAGAAGCAAAACACGAGTTTCAGCCTCGCAGCCCGGCTTGCACTAGTGCTTCACACGCAGCCAGGAGAAAGATGAGCAGCTACGTGTTTGTTTTTATCCAACACCCTGTTACTTCTACTGCCCCTTGCCCTTCACTTGATGCATTGTAAAGGCCCGCAAAAACATACATTTTCATGTCTTCTAAAAAAAAGCACATGCACACGTGCAAAAAAAGGCAGCTGGAGCTGGGTGGTGGCTGTGAAGTTCCAGGGACTGCACCGAGGTGTCAAACTCAACAACTTCATGTAAAGCAACTAGTGGCGCGGGTCTGTCCCGCAGCCTCCCCCGCGGGGCGTCCTCGGCCTCCACCGGCCTCCCCCCTCGCCCGGGG